AAATCTCATAAGTGCCAAATGCTTTGAAGATAAAACAGGCTTTACTGAAGCAGGCTATGGTCTCACGCAAGATGAAGGACACTCCCTAGCACCACCTTCACCCTGTGCTTGATTCAGAATTGGGCTCAGCAAATCAAGTTGTTTGTAAACAAGTCAGAAAAATAGCTCTTTTTTTCCTTAGCTGAATTCAGAAATGCTTTCATGGGCTTTCCAGTTGATCCTGAAAGTCCCCTTACTTTTTTTAAAAAAAAAATATTTTTATTGGGTTTTTCAACACACCCATCACCAATACACCACAGTTAAATCATACACCTTTTACTATGCAACACAGAGAGCTTATCAATCGTATCAATTGTATCTTTATCATATCTTCCCTTTCTTCTCATAGCATTCACTGAGGTTTTATATTTTTATAACTTACTAAGGATTTTACTCCATCAGAGCTATATCAAAATTCTTATCTGCACTGTAGACCCAGGACAGAACTTTTTCCTTTTGCCAATGAAAAATTTAAACCTCTATATACCACATCATAATTTCTTTTCTTTCACAATTTTCACATAAACACTACACACAACTTTCGCATAAACACTACAAACAATTTTCACATGAACACTACACAAACTCAGAGATAGTCCTATTCATCTTCTTCACCTTTTATCTTCAACTTTATACCTCTCAAACTTTACAAATTTATGCCCTTAGCCAATACTGAGCATATTCTAGCCTTATCTCTCCATAAATTTATCATTTCATCATTTTATAATTTTTATATTAACTTCATTTTCTTTAGATTTAAATATAGTTTTAATAAACCTTATAAATAATTCATTTTATAACAATTTCATTTTTAAAAAGACCATAATAAATATAATCAATTTTACCTTATTTCATCCATAAAATTTATCATTACAACATTTTTATATTAGTATCATTCCCTTTAATCATAGTTTAGATTAACATTATAAATAATTCACTTTGCTTTATGTTAATTTCATTAAGAATAAATATAGTTAGTATAATACATAAATAGTCTTCCTCCCTT